TACGTAGTATAGTACGTATCTACTTATATATATATATATATATATATATATATATATATATATATATATACGTACGCGTGTTTGTATGTGTGTTTTTTGTGTGTGTTGTGTGAGAGAGTGAGACTATTTTTGATATAATTATAATGCTGTCGACGAGCAGCTGCCAGCCCTTTCAAGTTTGATCTAAAAGTGCAAGAAGGTGCCGTCATAGTAGATCGAGGCCCTCGTCCCCATGTTGTTGTGTGCGTTTCATTGTGTTGCTGATGTGATGCCTAAGACTTATTTCCACTACTCGTAAAATAACTTTGCATTGTATTTTTACACCATTCGCATGTTGTGCTGTTGCTGCCCACTTCGCGGTTCGATACTTTCAATGTCGTTGTTCTCGAATTCAATTCACTCTCGATTAATTCTCCGATCAATCCACGCTACCTAGATCAACTATATCCCTCATTATATTTCCCGTACATATCCGTGTAGCTGCATGCGTGTATATCTAACTAACCCCCCAGTTTACTTACCCAGATGGACGTGAAACTGAATTACGACCAGGGGAAAGGATGAGCAGATGTGATCCCTTTCCAGTTATAAGGCAAACTTCAAAACGTGGGTTTTTGTGGGCAGTGTGAGAAGCACATGCACCTAAAAAAAATTAAATTGGATTTGTTAGTTGGCTCAGACTTGGTATAAATTGTACCAGCCAATGGGTAGGTACACATGCGATATACATACGGTTTCAGTGTTTACGTTTTCTATTTTGCTGTATGTAAATTGGCCCAGTTAAAAGTACGAACCAATACTGCAAAATGATATAAGTAGTACGTATTTGAAAATGTACTGGATTCTTGTTCAACAAAGAACCCTACCAATGATGATCGTCGCAAATCAACTTCTATTTTTGTGTTTATTCCTAACTTAATAGGAGATACGTACTTCTGGGTTCAGCAGTTTACGACAATACTTGATAAATATATCGTAAATAGTTTCTCTGGAAGTTTCTACCAAAAATATTTGATGATGGCCCCCGAAAGCAGAATTGCGACTTGCGAGTGGTTTTATTTACCTCTGCATTTGGTCAGAGTACACAACAACACAAACGAAGCTGCTGTGTGATTCTCCGAAGTATTGTTTACGGAGTTCAAGACGGTATATTGTAGTCCAGCTACATCTAAGTAATCATATTCCATACGTCTATAGTACCTCGGTTGTACACACACTGTAAATCTACATTGCATAAGTGTGACATAGTGTACTGCATAATGTCGAGATTGGCTAAAAGGCCTATGCCTATTCCCGCAGGCGCAAAGCTTACATTGAAAGGCCAAACCCTTAAGGTAATAGGACCCAAGGGTGTCTTAGCAACCCGTCTACCCTCGAACGTGTCCGTTTCTATGGATGAATCGGGACAGAATCTACTGTTCACTTGCCAAAACGAACAGGATCGAAAAAATAAGCAGATGCACGGACTATCGTACGGAATTATAGGCAATATGCTGACAGGTGTCACGTTGGGATTTGAGAAGCATTTAGAACTTCAGGTATTTATTCAATAGGCTAATTCACTTGTTTCAAATCGTGTTTTATCGTGAAGGATGATTGAGAAAATGTTCACGTTCTGACTTGAATATATATATATGTGTGTGTGTGTATGTGTGTGCAGGTAGACGTGTGTGTGGTGTGTGTTCATATTGTGTGTAGTGTGTATGTATTTTTATGAAATTATTTATATACACATATATATATATACGTGTATGTATATATCTGCGTGTGTGTATGTTTTTGTGTCTTTTTGTCTGTCTGTCTGTGAGTAAACATGTATTGTATACACACATATATATATATGTACTTATATATATATATATTGCGAGAGAGCTTGTCAATTTTGCGAGAGTATGACGAAGACTGATTTAGACATATTTGATATATATATTTATTTATACTATCTTCTTTTATGGGTTGATGTTTGTGTGTGTGTTTGTGTAGAGAAGAGAGTTTGTCGTTGTTATTCTTGCGAGAGTACGGCTGCAACTTTTTTATATGTATGTGCAGACGTGTAAATAGTCATACTTGCATGTTCACAAATCTATATGGGTATATTCTATATATATGTATATGTATATAATCCTCCATTTATGGTTATGAATGACTGGTATAAATATAAAATACTAACAAATACCAATGTTTACCTACAACCATATGTATGTATACGTATATGTATATATATATATATATATGCCTATATACACATGTATGAACATATCGAAAGTCCATTTCTTGTGTGTGACAACATTATTGTATACTCTTATACATTTTCTGCTGGATATAGATAGTGCATCCACTCAGACGTGTATTCTATGATATGTAGTATGCTTTCACAGTGATACACATTGTCCATGTATGTATACGTCTGTATGTTTGTATGTCTGTAAGACCTCTCAACTGTGGTTGGCTGTTTTATGTATATTGATAAATATATATATATATATATTCTTGTTACATGATGTGGTATGCTTTCACAGTGATACACATTGTCCATGTATGTATACGTCTGTATGTATGTATGTCTGGAAAGACCTCTCAACTGAGGTTGGCTGTTTTATGTATATTGGTAAATATATATATATATATATTCTTGTTACATGATGTGGTATGCTTTCACAGTGATGTATTATATCCATATGCGTGTATATATGAAACCACTCAACTGTGATCGGATATATTGTGCAGTGCCTGGGTATATTATATGATATGTATCTGGATTTTCGCTGCATCTCTGCTCTTTCTTTTCAACCTCCGGCAAATAACTCGGTTTATCGAGGGAGCATACTCAACTACATGTGTGCGTATATGCGTTTTTACGGATTAGTATACCCGCGTTTAGTGTGATTTATTTTATTGGAGGTTTCTTTTGTGCAAAGTAGCATCATTCAATTGTGGTTTTATTCTCTGCAGGGTGTGGGATACAGAGCTGCCAAACAAGGCGACAATCTCAGCATCAACATCGGATTCAGTAAACCAGTTATATTCGAGCCACCCCGAGGTATCAAATTAGACCTACTTAACCCCACCAACTTGTTGGTCAGAGGAATTGATTTGCAACAAGTAGGGGCTATTGCCGCAAAGATCAGAGCCATCAGACCGCCTGATGCGTACAAGGGTAAAGGCATTAGGTACGGCGACGAGCAAGTACGACTCAAGGCTGGAAAGGGCGGCAAAAAGAAGTAAATAATCGACATTGCGCTATTTCGATTCTTGAGTTTTTTTTCTAAGAAGAGGGACCTATACGTATAAAATCCTTTTGAGCTAATTACAGCTTGATATGCGGACGTCTGTGTATTTATGTCGTGGTATCAGTGATATGTGTATTCTTGGAAGTGTCTTGTATATATATTTGTCAGTAGATCACTCAGGGCACAATCCGATGAACTCGACCCGGTCCACCCAAATCGTATAAGTACAGGATCTACACTAGAAACGTTCGAAGCTCATGTTGATACACCTGTCATCAAGAGCTGATTCTCGGTGCACAACAATGAGATGATGCGATAGGACGCCCCATGTCTTGAATTTCCTGACCACACATTCTGCTTCGTATACGGCTTTGCGAACGAATATCCGCTTTCAATCTCTCTCTCGTATTCTTGAACCCAGATTGCGTCAACGTATTGTTTTTTTTGGGTATGAACACTTTGAGGCATGAAGGATTATATTAATGAAGCCCAAAAAGCGAATTTATAAAATTGGAAATTTGCTGCTTGCTGCATATTGTCATAAGCCCTGACTTGTTTTTTTTGTATTGTTTTGTAGCTGGCAATTGTCACACTCGTGTATCACTTTAACAGACGATGAGCTTTCGCGACTATCTGAAGCACACACTAAAACACTGATCAAAATTTGCCATTGTTGAGTTTTTGGAGGTACGCGTGTGCCTCAAGTTTGATCACACCTTTATTTCTTGGATACGCAACAGTATGAGACTACCGCATGACCTCATCTGGAATCACGGTAAATGGCTTTTATTTACTTCACGATTACCTTTTTTTAGCGACAGAATACGTGCCAATGAGTGAATTTAGTGTTTTAATTTTGCAAGGGTAGTTTTAGAAGTCGAAGTTCCCAAACCCATAGTTCATTCGGTCTACGCGAGAGCGTTCAGATTTTTCAGGAGTGTCAAGGTACATTCAATGGTTTTGTTGGCAGGAAACTTGCTTCGACAGAAAGGGCCTAAAAGGGCACCTTCTTAGTCCATAGAGAACCGGAAATTCAGGCATGTGCCACAAAACTTTCATATACACAATTGGTGGATACACTCACTGCAACTTATGCTGAATGGGGCGGCAACATATTGCATTTTGCTCCAGCGCCCTTTAGCGGATGCTGGATTGCACAAACATTCATAAAGAGTATAGAAGTCCTCGATTTGGAGTGGCAAATTGCACATTGAATCAGAGACCCCTTACAGTGTCAAGTAGTGGTAAGTGTGAGAAAAATGTCGTTCTAGAAGTACACAGCAAGTCTTGAAACTAACTAAGAAAGGACTAGGTTGGTCACCGTAGTGACAGTGATGGCTCATTGGCAACAATTGGAATTTCTCCAATATTCCTGTTTGGACAAAATATTTGAAAGTTCCTCGTAGCTGTATGACTTCATCATTCGAAATTCGAACTCTGAGATTGACTAATATGTATTTAGTACATAGTAGAGCAGAATTCTCTCTCTCTCGGGTGTGCTTGTTACGACACTGATCACTGATCACTCTGTGTGAGTCTGTGAGACTGTGAGCGAGAGCTGGGAATAAATTCTGCAGATGAAGGTAAATTAGATGAAGTTAAATTTTAATATATATATAACAGTAAAGTATCGTCGCAGCTCGCGTCTCGCGGCTTTTTTTTGCCCCACTGTTGTCCACCCTCATGAAAATTTACTATGTATTTAAAAATTCCCTATGAACTGACGCTTCGCGGCTTCTGACAACGGCTCGTACTTTTTTTTTAGCCTTTTTTTTGGTTGGGGCCTTGGGGCCCTGGGGGCGGTAATAGACTAATAGCTACCCTCATTCCAACATAAATATGTACCTGCTTTTTATATATAAAATGTCTCCTCTTGAGCTGGTCTGGTATAAGACAGCATATTTGTTCTGGCGACGTGCCGTAGACCGTCGGGCGTCGGGAACTATGTCTATATGTCTACCCCGACATGACCGTGTGATTTTAAAATACAGTCAAAAGTCCGATAGACATACTGCCCTATAAGGGGACATATCGCGAAAGGTCGGAAACTAGTTTAGGCTCCTGAAGACCTGGAGTCTGGGACTCTGGGACTTTAGGACCGTGAACGCCTGGACGCCTGCAGTTTTGCAATCTTTTGAGTAAGTTGAGTTGCACACTTGCACACTTGCACTGTCTCGCCTCTCGCGACTTGCAGGCACAGCGGCGCAGGCCGCGCAGCCTTGCAGCCGCTGCGTGTAGTTATTGTAGGCTTGCCGCTTGGTATTTATTTTATTAAACACTTCTACTCTTGTTTATTTTTTTACCTCTTACTTTTAAACTATACTCCAATAATTACTAACAAAAGATATAAGAACCGCAGATTCCTGCTAAGAGTAAAGAGCTACAACGGAATCTCAGAATATTTTATAAAATAGAAGTAGAGTACATAGTTGCCTTTGTTTTAGTTTTTTACTATTTTTTTAATACTTTTTATTGTCCCTCAAGGACCCTCATTCTCAAGTTGATTTTATTTTGTTTGCAATTTTTGTTAAAAGTATTTTGTAAAATATCACATATTACTCATAGAATACTATAAGCCATTTTAAAATGATTATTGAGTCAATCCCACTATAGAACCTCTAGTTATAAATATATACTAGCTCTCTCCCTAGAGAAGGGCAAGTTCAATAGTCCGGTCCTACATATGTACATAATTCGGATGAGAAAAATAAATACAATAGTCGAGAGTCGAGTCTCGAGAGTCTCGAGACTACATTCTATGACTCGTCACCATGTCCAATTGTTCATGTTCATGAGCACAATGAGCCATCCCGGCATTCTAGCCATGATCCCGGGCCCGGGCCGGTTGGCTGCTGGCATTTTGCATTTGGCAAGCGAAAAGCCTGGCATTTGTATGACATTTCACTGTTCACATTTGACTTTTCAAATCATTTGGTACAAGAAGAGAGCAGGTCAGCAGGCTCTGAACTTCTGAAGTCTGAACTATGAATATGTAGCTCTAGTGATTAGTGAACTGAAGTCTGAAATAGGAATCAGAGACAGACTGGGACTAGTCTGAGAGTCACTGTGAGTGTGTGCAAGCCTGTGTAATTGAGGCTAAAAATAACAGCCAACACATACAATCAATGATTCAAATTTCAATCAATCATATTTACATAAGTTATAATGCCGACCCAAGCTCAGAAGAAAGAAAAAATTATTTCAATTCGAAGACTCGGACTCCTCGGAGCTGGTGCAGCTCGACAATACTCAATTCTGCATGCCTGCCAAATGTGGAATGCAAATGTTCAACGCGCTCGCGTGCATACAGCAGTAGCTGTAGTATGTACCCCAGTGTACCAGAGGTATGCACTCCTCTCAATCCTGTGTACAGGAGCACAATATTATGTAATATAATACCGCTTTTGCAAAATATTTTACTGAAAGGAAGTATATTGCAAGCTAAGCCTGCAGCTCTGAGTGAAAATACAACTAAAGCAGGTATGGAATGCCATGGTTCAATAGGAATTTGGAGTTTGTTCTAAAATTATTGTGGGATCCTCGCAATATTTTGTCATCTGATGATCTTCACTGGAGAACACGAACTCTTCTCTTGAAGCCTATTTGAATTAAGTGGAATTTTTTTGGGTATTAGTATGTACTCTTGTTGTATCCAAATTCCAATGTGAAGTTTGACGGGGCTATATTGTAAATTAAGTTTGGAAAGAGTGACGAGCGTCAAATGGCAGCCTATAAAGCCAGTGGTATCCTCGGCACACTCTCCACTTGAAATACTACTATCAGAACATTTTAAGTTTGTATTAAATACCAGTATGAAGTTTGCAACTATAATCGCTATCCAACTTGCGGGAGGCCAGCTTGCTTACGCTCGCCTCAATGACGATGAGGTTTTCGCAAACTCCGCTCTTACTGGTCGTAGACCAACATCACTACGTCGCATGTCTAGTTTATTTGGTGCTGTTTGGGAACCCACTGCTTTGAAAGCTGGTTCAGTAAACTGTTACATTGATGGAGTTGATGTTGGGTTTCACTGTCTAATGAGAGCGGCCGACGGAGCAGATGGCCAGATACTCAGAGATAATGTCAATGCACGGACATGCGAGGAGGGCGAGGCTAGCACAGCATCCATCGATTGGAAGAAAGCAAGGGATGCCCTATTATTTGGACAAGTGGAGGGTTATATTACGGGCGCTGATGGGAATCAGGTAAAAGGGCCGCTTGTAGTGTCTGACGCTGGTCTGGAGGAACTTTTACAACAAAACAGAGATAGCGGATATGCACTTGGACTGCTAGGCGGTGATTTATACAGCCAATTCCTCAGCGTAGGGATCAGAAGGTTGATGCAGAGCAAGAGAAGCGCTGAGACGAGCGAGAAACAATTTTACAATATCTGGATATCAGGTCTTCGAGAATTGATCTCAGCCCACGACGTTAACAGGCCGGATGGTGTTGCGGACAACGATGTCCACTGCCACGGATCCGACCAGAGTCACCAGTATCAACACGTCGTCAGCGACCATTTGCAACGAGGTGAGTCCAAGTTCTTCTTTTGATTTATTTTAATCATCCTGGTTTTAAACAAGTACAAGCTTGCAATTCGATATATATATTTGCATGACATTTCACTGTTTGCTGTACCGAACGAAAACTCAACTGAACGTGTTGCTACACTTGCTTCAGGATACTACGGAGAATTATCGTGTGCATGCGGTTACAAGTCACTTGGTGAGTACATCCTCCCCGGGACTGAAGAGACTACCAAAATTCCATGGCAGAGCATCGAAAACGACCCTAACGCGAACCCCTACTTGAAAGAGTTATGGAGCCGGATTAAGATGCACACATTGGATGGCGTGGCTTCTGACTGCGATATCACTACATCAACTCGTGGTCAACGTCGTTATGATTTCAACCGCGCTTATGGTGTACAAGAAATCGAGGGTGTTCCTCGCCGATTCATTAAGATCGGCAACGACAGGACCTGTGGTACATACGGGAATGAGATTGGCTCACATGCCGAGGACAATCCGTATCGATGGGTTGACAAGCAGTGGGGTGCCAGATACCTCAACGGCATCGAATTAGACATGTACAATCATTTCGTGCAAGGTGTCAATGCCCGATGCAAGTCTCAGCCGGCAGTCAAGGCCACAGACAGACAGTGCTATCTCACTATTGAGACAACGTGCGTAACTAAGAACGACGACGGGACCAAGGAGACCACAACGACGCAGATGACTATCCCGGACAAGACCGGAGGGTGTGTAGGTTTCCATGCAGAAGTTGACGGCAGTCGTTAAAACTTCTCATTGTAGAATGAAGCACTTATAGATTGAAGCAGATAAGATTGTTTAGACGCGACTACGCGGCTGACAGAGGTGAACTATGATTATAATGAACATATGTACACAGAAAAAGCAGCGAATAAAAATGAAATGTAGCTGATATTGATTAAAAGATTAGCATTGAAAATGTCCAGCATTAAGTCTCAAGTGGCAATATGATTGACGGCATGATGGGTAGTGAAAAGTTTGAAAATGTTGTGACAAATGTTGTTTACTATGATCGAGCATGAATACCACTTCAGTGGCGAAGTGAAAATCGTCTACTCTGCTGGAACACTTAGGCTTTCTGAATTGACCATATCTTAACCCCATGGGAGTGTGTAAGAATAAGCAATAGCGTATATAACAAGCTAAGAATAGTTTTTATCGTTTACGTTTGAGTTTGTGTCTCGTTGATTGGGGAGATAGAATCACTGGTATAAACCATGGGACAACCTCTAGGTTTGCAGATCTATCCGAATAGTTAGCACTACCGGACAAAAGTACAAAATGCAAACAAATAGACTTCGGAATTTCTGATTCATCTGCTTCATCATACGTGCGTGCATGGTGGTGGTCGTGGCAAAGCTACTACCATTGACGGCTCCAACTTCTGAGAACCCTATTTTAAAGTACATAAGTGTAGCTTGTTGTATCCATTCACGAATGTACTTAGGACGCGACTTCAGCTTGCTTAAATACCCTGCAAAGAAGTCAAGCACAGTACCTGCTATTGTCTACTAGCCCATCCGCTGAGAAATGTATTGTACACGTCACTTATTGGTGCGACAGACCGTAGTGCCCGCTCCGCAATCGTGAGATAACTCGGAAGTCGCATATGCGCACTCATAGGTGATACGTACCTATATCACTACGAACCACACACTCCTCTGTACGGCGTAGAATCCAAATACGTAATCCTATACGTAATCCTATACGAATATGAAGCGTTAATATATCGTAGTGAGCCTACAGATACTGCGATAGATCTTGCCATAGATCTCACAATATATAGGGCACGTAGTTGATACACATGTGTGTGCTGATGTGTAGTCCTACGTGTATGGTACGATACAAATTAAATCCCGCATTGCTCGCGTCGAGGTGTGTTGTTTGCCTCGTACTTCAACCAAGTTGTGGGACAGTGCCGTACGGAGACTGCGATGTCCTCTCGATGAACTCTGCCAATCCCTGTGGCATACGAGTATATGTAGTAAAGCGTACGAAGAAACATTAGGGTTTGTGTCAAAAAAAAATATGAATTATATCCAGAAAGGCGCTCTTGACCGAAAGGACACCTTTCAGTACATTTAAGTCAAGCAACACAACCGTTCAAAATGGACAAAAGTAGACGCACTCACCATTGCCCAAACATCTACACCCAAATAAAGACACGATCTTACACATACGTCGCAGCCTACGTACTCACGAGCAACCAGTACGAATCACACCTGATCGAACAGCTCACATCGGATGGGGTTCTCCATGGAATAGAAGGGATTCTTCAGCGCAAAGTCACTGTACAGTACATATAGTCCACGCAGTACGGCGTCTAGGTTTGCCTGCTTGGGGTCGGTGACTACCAGAAACTTGGTACCTGTATAAGAGAGCCAAGTCAAATTCACAAAGTAGTTATTTCCTCCGATCTCAATACCAAACGTAGACTGAGGTGAATTGACCTATTTTGCAACAAAACATCTTAGCTATAAGGCTTTCGTCACGATAAGTAACATCTAATTCCATAATAACTCGGATAGATCCAGTATGACAATGCTTTAATTTGAATCGACACTCGCAGAAAGAGGGTTTGGGTCTGGTTTTGGGGGTATGAATCAATGTAGACAAGAACAATACGCGCCACAGAACAGTACAAACAGGCAGGGGGATATAGGTATGTGCACCAACATACCTGTCAGTGTCTGGAAGCATTGCAGCTTAAAGGTGCTGGTCTCAAGAATCTCCATCCCGCTTGAGGCCTTCACCGGCGCAATCTTTTGCGTGATAGCGTACAACCTAAATTGAATACAAATTTTAGTGTGCAATAGAAAGGGGATGCGGATGTATACAAAATTTACATTTTTATAATATGTAAATATGTATATATATATGTATATA